CCCACACGACAGAACGAGGGGGGACACAAATCAGTGCCCACAGGATGCCACATGTCAGAACCAGGAGGTGACACAAATCAGTGCCCACAGGATGCCACACGTCAGAACGAGGGGTGACACAAATCAGTGCCCACAGGACGCCACATGTCATAACCAGGGGGGGTGACACAAATCAGTGCCCACAGGACGCCACATGTCATAACCAGGGGGGGTGACACAAATCAGTGCCCACAGGACGCCACATGTCATAACAGGGGGGTTGACACAAATCAGTGCCCACAGGACGCCACATGTCATAACCAGGGGTGACACAAATCAGTGCCCACAGGAAGCTGCGATGAGTATAACAGGAAGGATGCAGAATCCCAACAGACACCATGTTCGTAAATTTTTCAGCTGAGGGCAAGAAAGACATTCGACATGTGTAAAGGTACCAATCCTCTTTATAGAAGCGCTCCCAATGAAACAAATCTATATACACAATGCAATAAAAAAAAACGCCAATCCTTTAAAGAACAACTGCGGGAACTTTTTTTTTTCAATTACCCCCCACACTCCGCACTGCAATGGTTAGCTGCTCGTTTTCTTATAGGGACTACAATAGAAAATGTTGGAGCTATGCAGCTGTCCCAGCACTCCTTCCAGTAATAGTATGCTCTCGGTGTTCTATACGCTGTGTATAGAGTCATCACGTTCGAGGACCTCAAAGGCTGCTGGACGCTGGAAGGGCCAATCTAACAAGCCGGCTCCAAGATTCAAGTGAGTACAGCTATTTTCATTTTAGTCCCTAGACAAAAATGAGCACTTAACCCTTGCGGTGCCGGGGGTAGCTCCACTGCGAGGGTTCATTTTTCCCCCAGAGTTGCTCTCTAACATTTTATCTGTGTCTTGTTTACAGTTTTCAGAATTCGGGTGAAGTTCCTCTTTAACAGAATACAAACCTGTTGTCATGGCCTGGTTGGAGGAGATGCATGCCATGGTGACCGTGTGAGCGGGAGTCTTATTAGAGAAACCGGCTCCGAGAGCAGCCTGGGCAGATAAAAAGTACAGAAGGATTAGAATTTACAACCTCAGCAACCAAACGCGGCAATTTACGGCTTCATTCACCACCCATTTACCATGTTACTCTCTCACTATGGCCTCTGGTGCTTCCCTGTACTCTTTTAGAGTAACCGGAAGCTCTGTCTGTCCCCATAGAAAGATCAGGGACACTCGAAGCTTCCCCTCATTAACATACAATTATTCTAGATCTTTAACCCTTTGTTGAATCAGAGGAGTTCTCATCTAGTAAGAATGACATTTTCCAGTACAGTGCAGACAGGGTAATGTTATGTTATATTGTGTGATTACGAGAACATTAACCCCGCCTCTTGCATTCCAGAGGAAATTTCAGTACAGAGAACAATTTTTCTTTCAGGAAAGAGCAAGTAATACACAAGCATCAATTTATTTTTATTTTAGCTATGCTATGTGAATGGGAACATGTAACAAATATAAAGTGGGAGTTATTCCAATTTGCCTCCAACAGTGGAAATGCACTTTAAATCGCCCGTCTATTAGCGAGTTCCATTATTAGAAAGTAGCTGCAACACCCACCTTAAAAAGGGGAATTATGAGGGGAGTGATTGCCACTCAGCCTCATAATCGGAGCCGACCTGTGACAATGAAACTGTCACAGTTCGGCTCAATAGATCGGGAAGTGAGCGAACACATACCGGCACTCGCTCACTTCTCGATCATGTCCCTGCAGAGAGCCGTGACTGTTACTCACAGCTCTCTGCAGGGATTCCCCCCTCCCCTGTCAGATCCTCCAGCACTGACTGGCGGAACGGATGGGGGAGGGGGCGGGCACAGCTAGCTCTGCCTCTAGATAGGCAGAGCCAGCTGTCACACACGCAGCTGGGCGGATCCAGACAGTATTATCGGGATCCGTTCCGCTCCCTATATACTGAGCTTTGGGTGACAGGAGGACACTAGTTTGTGTTCTCCCGTGACCCTGAGGAGAACTATGGGGAAAAGCTCTGACCTCATGGTTCTCCTTTAACCCCTTCGTGACTGACGACGTACAGTGTATGGCATCGGGGCTATTGACGCCGGGACTCTGTTTAAACTTGTAGAGCCGACTGTCGGCTTTACAACAGAAGCGATCCTGGCGACTTACCTGTCGCCAGATCGCTTCTGCGTCCCGAAGAAGGGGCCGCCTCCCCCCCGCCGGACACCCCCGCAGTGCTTCCCGGGCTCCGTTGCCCCTCCTACGGGCCCGGGACCGGCGATCTTGGTGTCCGCGGGGAGCTGGGGAGGAGATCGACGAACTTCCTTTCATCAATCCCCTCCCCCGTTCTATGGGACCGGGAGCGATGCAGATTGCATCACTTCCTGTCCCTGGGCTGTCAGTTCTGGGCTCCTGCGATCTGCACTTCAATAGCTTATTTCTAGTGTAAAGGTGACACTGGGGGTCTTTTGGACCCCCAGCATCACCTTAAAGAGTACCTGTCACCACCATCTGCTATCACATGGTGAGTCGGACATTAAAAAAAAAAAAAAAAAAAAAAAAAAGACACCCACCTCGCGGGCGACATTGCTGGTTTTCACTTCCTGGATAACGGTACCGTACACGATATAGTCAACGGCCTCCCGAGGAATATTTGTCCGATTCAGCAAACCCCTGATTGCACGCAGAGAAGCAGGAAGGGTATGTAAACATGAGAAGGGTATTTGTTCGGGCTGGTAATGATTACAAATTTCGTGTTCGATTAATCGAAATTGTTTTAAATCGATTAATTTCGATTAATGATAACGCACATACAGATCCAACTACATTGGGCTATACACTTACAGCACAGCAATGAATAAAATGAACTAGGATCACACTAATCCAGCACGTTATTACTCTCACGTGCCCCACTCAAAATGGCCGCCGCTTGAGTGGGGCAACTCAGAATAATAACGTGCTGGATTAGTGTGATCCTCGTACATTTTATGACTTCATTGCTGTGCTGTATGTGTGTAGGCCAATGCCTTGGCTGGCGCTCGTGCAGAAAGTTTCTTGGGCAAACTCACCGGCCCAAGTGGCTCCGTCGGCTAACGAAGGGGGGAGGAGTCCGGTGACATCACGGACATCGATGTCACCGGACTCCTCCCCCCTTCCCTTCGTTAGCCGTCACGGACATCAACGTCACCGCACTCCTCCCCCCTTTCCCTTCGTTAGCCGACGGAGCCACTTGGGGAAGGGGGGAGGAGTCCGGTGACGTCGATGTCCGTGACATCACCGGACCACCGACGGGACTCCGGAAGCCGGCGGAGAGGCGAGTGTTTTCATTAGCGATCAAAATAATTTTAATCGATCAAAAAGTTTAACGATTAATCGAGAAATTAATCTTTAAATTTCCACAGCCCTAGTATTTGTACTTTAAGGCAAACACTGGGATACACACACGGGAAACTATACACACAGGAACATGCTCGACTCTGCTGCCGTTCTGATCTATGGCTCGGTTGTGCACAGTGTGGTAATCTCATTGGCCAATAGAGAAGCAGCTCATTGCACTGTATGATCCTGGAGGAAGCAAGTCAAAGCTCCAGTCGGGAAAGATGTGGATTTCACCACAAGCCTCGGTGCCCGGCTGTTTCCCAGGACTGCACAAGCAGCTTGCTGGACGAGGTACATTCAGGTTCATTATAGTCTTCAAGTATATAAAACCACATTTTACCCCGAAAAAGAATGACAAGACACTTACTGCAACGCTGTCCTGGCCAGGTCATGAGGCATCAGATCTGAAAATCTAGAAGACAAAAAGCAGCAACTTACTCTCTGTATACGTCCCACACTGGCTGGTTCTCCATCTTAGTGGGATGCGAAGCTGTCAGTGATAGCCGGGTGTGCCAGCTTGCTGACATGCAATGGGTCGGTTGGTAGCCATCAATGGAATTATTATTATTTTATAGTATTTATATGGCGCCAACAGTGTGCGCAGCGCTTTACAATATAAGGAAGACATTACAATACAATACAATACAAGACAAGATGGTAAGGAGGGCCCTGCCCCTGAGGGCTTACAATCTAAAAGGGAGGAGCCAGTGATACATGAGGAGGGAGCTGTGTGGGGAATGAATTATGTGAGAATGTGAAGGTTCAGCGGTCAGGTTGAGGTGGGATCGGCTTCCCTGAAGAGATGAGTCTTTAGGGAACGCCTAAAGGCAGTCAAGGTGGGAGATAGACGGACAGGTCGGGGTAAAGAGTTCCAGAGGATGGGAGAGACTCTAGAGAAGTCCTGGAGGCGAGCATGGGAGGAGTTGACAAGGGAGCTGGAAAGCAGGAGATCTTGGGATGAGCAGAGGGGATGGTTAGGATGATACTTTGAGACAAGGTTGGAGATATAGACAAGGTTGTGGATGGCTTTGTAAGTGGTTGTTAATAGTTTGAATTTTAACTTTGGGCGAGTGGAAGCCAGTGCAGTGATTGGCAGAGGGGGTGGAGGATGAAAGCCAGTATGGGAGGAGTGGACAAGGGATCTGGAAAGCAGGAGGTCAATGGATGAGCGGAGGGGACGGTTAGGGTGATACTTTGAGACCAGGTTTGAGATATATCCGGGGGCGGAGTTGTGGATGGCTTTATAAGTGACTGTTAATATTTTGACTTTTATCCTCTGGGCGAGTGAAAAGCCAGTGTAGAGGGGGGGGTGGGATGGAAGCCAGTGCAGGGATTAATAGAGGGGGGATGCAGACACTGAGCTGTTGGTTAGGTGAATTGAGTCTGGCAGCTGCATTCATGATAGACTGAAGGGGGGAGGAGCCTGTGTAGTGGAAGGCCAATGAGGAGGGAGTTGTCTGTCAAGATGAGAGATAACAAGGGAGTGTATGAGTAGTTTTGTGGTGTCATTGGTGAGGAAGGGGCGTATTTTGGAGATGTTAGGAAGGTGAAGGCGGCAGGATTTGGATAGTGATTGGATGTGGGGAAGAAAGGTGAGGTCCCAGTCAAGGATGACACCTGGGACCTTGGCATGGGGGGAGGGATGGATAGTTGTGTTATCAATCTCAATGTAAATGTTGGGGGAAGGTGCACGGGGGGAGGCGGGGGAATATCATGAGCTCAGTTTTTGAAAGGTTGAGTTTTGAGAAATGTTGTGACATCCAGAAGGATACGTCAGTTAATGGAATGATTGTTATCCTCAGCATTGGGCACTGCGCTGACAAATGTTAAAGGGGAACTTTGCTCAAATCTTCAAAAGTGGCAACAAACAACCTTTTAGAAATGTTTAATAATGACAATCTACACACAGAGATTTCTAAAAAATTGGCGACTTTGTATTCTTTGCATTCCTTATTTCTATCTTGCTCCCCAGCCTTCTCATGGCAGCCATTTTTACTAAGGGCAGGTGAATCGATCTCCCTTTACTTCCTGGAACTCTGGCACATGTGACTAGGACATGTGACCATGCACATCATCTCGGGGGAGGAAAATGCCTTTCACTGAGATCTCATAAGATAACAGATGAGATTTCCCAACAATGCTCTGCTGATGTCACCTTCCCAGGAGGCAACGCTTGTTCACATTACATCACTAATGCCCAAGAGGACCAGGAAGTGGGAAAAAACAATAATTGTAAGTAAAGGCAAAATATGTTTGGTTTAACTAATGAATGTGAGATGATTTCATATCACCATGCAGAGCTGCAAGCGAAGGTGATTTTTAGTGAGAGGGGGTAAAGGTCGGCTTTCATATAAGGAGTATGGGAGGGAGGAGGTTAATAAACCAAATAGAAACGTTAAGAAAACCACTGCTACAATAAACAGGCCAGAAATGGAAGGTAATGGGGACTCACGTGGTTCCGGAGAGCAGGAATGGGGTGCGGACGCCCTCCACTACGACAACATTCTTCACCCCTGGCTTTCCAAGTGTCTTCTTAGTTTTTGCCTGGACAGCTAGGAGAGAAAAATGTGATTTACTTCCTCACACAGAGTTATAGTTATTTAGGGTGAAAAGCATCAAGTTATTTCTGTCTTTCTCCAGTCTGAAGGTGGCGGCACAGACCTCCCGGGGCAAACAGAGAAGTCCGTCACAGAAAGGAAACGTTCCATTGTGACCCCGCAGAAGCATCAGTTCCCTGAAACACAATCTTACCACAACATCCATCAGTAACTACAGAAGTGGTCTCTATTAGTAAAAGGAATCTGGTCACTGATTGGCCGCTGATTATCATTATCCTGGATTCATATGGTGCCAACAGGTTGAGTAGCGCTTCACAATATGAAGGGAGACCGTACCTTTACAATACAATACAAGAGGGTTAGAGAGCGGGAGGTCCTGGGAACAGTTTGGGTGATATTTGGAGATATGGTTGGTGATGTAGCTCGGGGCAGAGGCGTGGATGGCCTTGTATGTGGTTATTGTTTCAAATGTTATTGTTGTTTTGGACATTGGAAGTCAGCGGAGGGATTGGCAGAGAGGAGCAACAGACAATGAGTGGCTGGGTAAGGTGGAAAAGTCTGGCAACAGCATTGCTGATAAGACATAGGGGCGATAGCCTGTGTACACCAACAAGAAGGGAGCTGCAATAGTCGAGGGGGGGATAGCCTGCGCACACGTACACCAACAAGAAGGGAGCTGCAATAGTCGAGGGGGCATAGCCTGCGTACACGTACACCAACAAGAAGGAAGCTGCAATAGTCGAGGGGCGATAGCCTGCGCACACGTACACCAACAAGAAGGGAGCTGCAATAGTCGAGGGGGGAGATAACAAGAACGTGAATTAGTAGCTTCGGTGGTGTCAGGTGGTGGTGTTGGTGGGGGAATTCTACAGACACAGTGTCCATGATGACACGTTGTGGTTGTGACTAGTATTCCTCTCCAGGTAATACAGAAACCTCTCACTTGTCTGTAAGCCTCTGCCCCACTAACCTCCAGGTTGTACTGGAATTACCCAGCTGAAACAACCAGTATCGCAGCAGAAGCATGAGGCCAACTCCTGTCACCCTGTTCACTCCAAAGAAAAGTGCAGATGCTTCCAAGCAAACTGAACATTTCCACTCATACATGTCACCTGTGGGCTCCATCTGTATGCCTGACATTAGAAGAACCTTATATAACCTGGCTGCAAAACCAGAACATCAGTAAAGACCCAGAAGGGCTCATAAAATCCAATTAGCGACATTACCTGGTGCCTGGAGGTGGGAGGAGCAGCTGACGGATCTGACCACGGCTACAAAGAAATAAAGAAAGAGAAAACATGATGGTGGGTAAAAGATCTTTGTAACAAGACTTCTAGGTCATGCGTTGGGTCAGTACACAAAGGTTATCTGCAATGTCCACCAGATATCATTCAAAACTTCAGCTAAAAATATTCCCTTCAACTCAGAGATTTCTCCCGCAGTACTTTTTCCTGCCACTAGATGTCCTGTTACCACAAGATACAATGAAGAACTATTTCAGATATTTCATCATTGTTCCTAATTGGACCTTATGTTACCTTTTGTTCTCATATACAAGAGTAGATATACCCATACAGGACGTCACGTGATCCAGGCATGAAGAAGCAGACTTGTCTCTGAATCACATCAACATTATTTATGGCCGATGTGTGTGACTGACAGCTTGTATTAGGCATAGTGGTCATAAAACAAAAATTGTATATGGACCTCATGCATGCTTAGCCAGGTTTGATATTTTGGGGATTTTAACTCAAAGAATGTAGTCATTTTATTACAATTTCAATGTTTATTTTATATTTAAAGTCCTGTTTCTGAACATTTTTCACTATCTGTACATATGGGAATGATAACACTGTGCGAGTACACACTGGTTATTTGTTTGCAATTCCGTACCATTTCTTATGTGTAGTTCTGTATATCTGCACTCCGAGATCATCTAAGGCAGTGCTTCTCAACCTGCATAACCTCAGGACCCACATTTGTCCTCGGTCATTAACCTGCGGCCCAAGTCACACTGCAATGTAACGCACGGCATTGCGGTACCGCTCGTTCCAGTGCAGGCGATCGGACTGTGGGTGTGGGATGTGTTTGGGATGCCATTCAAAAGATCCCCCCCACCCAGTCTCCCTACCTTACAAGAACTGAAGTGAATCCTCAGCCTGGGGTCCGGTGTGGGCTGCTGCATTGTGCCCGCAGTGCGTTTCGTGCGTTCAAAATAGCGCTTGCAGCATTTTAAACATAACGCACTGCGGGCACAATGTGCCTTGCGATTCCCGTGCAGGCAATAGCATTGCGGCCACAGGACGTGGCTACGGTGCCATCCACTTCAATGGCCCGCCACGCCCCCTCCTGCCCAGCAAAAAGGGAGCCGGCCACAATGCGGGCACTGCGTTCTGGTCCGATTTCTGACTGGAAAGGACTGCCTATGGTGTGAACGAACCCTAAGGGTTGCCCATCTCTATCCAGCATGTGGCCCAGAAACCTCACAAGGCTCTCCGCTACCTTTGATATATTGCGGAGCTTCCATACAAGTGCTCAGTGACTGTCTGTTACTCTTTCTGATCCTCTGCTGAATCATATAAAAAAGCAGCAGACCGAGCCTGGCAACCCGAATTATCACAACTTAAAAGGGGAACAGCACTCAAAACAATAAATAAATAATACTTATTTTTCAACACAGAGGGGAGGAGTTTATTAAAATCTGGAGCAGCTGTGCATAGCAACCAATCAGCTTGTCTCTAACATTTTCAGATCTTAGCTGAACAGACTGAAGCTAGAAGCTGATTGGTTGCCATGGGCAACTGCTCCGGATTCTGTCTGCTCCAGTTGTGATAAATTCCCCCCCCCATTGTTCTTACTGATCACAATGTCTTCCTTAACTTCCCTGTGTAGCCGGCGGAAACACAAAAAAACTGACTTGGGATGGAAGGAGGAGTCTATTTATTTAATGTGGTTGATGTGTTTCCTGTTGCAGGCAGGCGGAGCCTATATCTCGATGGCTGTCCTGGAAGATGACTGGGGAAAACTAAACTAGAAATCTCTCCTTACCGAGTCTGCTGGTAGTGGGGAGGCATCGGGTACTTTGTCTTAATATGAAGGCCATCTTGGATTCTGCCAGAACAAGAAGGGAAGCAGTCAGACAAGAAGAAGACAAGTTCTCAATGACACAGTTAACCTGGAGCCAAAATTAAAAAATTACCTTTCTACACTATCCAAGACTAAAAAGAAAACGTTTTGGCTTCAGTTCTACACACGTCAGAATGATCAGCAGATACAGCCAGCTGGATTTCTATGTAGATACTGTCCCGGGCCCCACTCCCTCCCTATTGGTCAATGAGTGCTCATCATAATAAAGGACTGATGGGGAGACCCTTGTACAGGGGACGGAGGGACCCGGCCCAACAAGCAGACCCTTGTACAGGGGAGGGGGGACCCGGCCCAACAAGCAGACCCTTGTACAGGGGAGGGGGGACCCGGCCCAACAAGCCGATCCTTGTACAGGGGATGGGGGACCCGGCCCAACAAGCCGATCCTTGTACAGGGAAGGGGGGACCCGGCCTAACAACAAGCTGACCCTTGTACAGGGAAGGGGGGACCCGGCCTAACAACAAGCTGACCCTTGTACAGGGAAGGGGGGACCCGGCCTAACAACAAGCTGACCCTTGTACAGGGAAGGGGGGACCCGGCCTAACAACAAGCTGACCCTTGTACAGGGAAGGGGGGACCCGGCCTAACAACAAGCTGACCCTTGTACAGGGAAGGGGGGACCCGGCCTAACAACAAGCTGACCCTTGTACAGGGAAGGGGGGACCCGGCCTAACAACAAGCTGACCCTTGTACAGGGAAGGGGGGACCCGGCCTAACAACAAGCTGACCCTTGTACAGGGAAGGGGGGACCCGGCCTAACAACAAGCTGACCCTTGTACAGGGAAGGGGGGACCCGGCCTAACAACAAGCTGACCCTTGTACAGGGGAGGGGGGACCCGGCCCAACAAGCCGAACCTTGTACAGGGGAGGGGGGACCCGGCCTAGCAAGCGGACCCCAAATTTTACTGCAAGGTCCCCTTTAAGTTACTGCGCAGTCATCGCACTTTTATATCGGCTCCTGTTTGTCTCGCTGAATAAACCTGAAGTTTGTTATAAGTGACTGATTTTTATGGCTTCCGGGAACAAGAGAAGCAGCTCAATGGAGGGAAATGGAATACAATTAGGTATACGGTGTACAAAGCAGGATCATACGCTGATGAGGTTTATTGAGCTCTGTGTCCGTGTTATTTTTATTCCTCCCGTGTCCCAATCCCACCCCGAGCGTGTTCATCCCCAGAGCTGAAAACATGCTGCACATCTGCTCACACCCC